AAGTTAGTGAAATAAATTATCCATCTTAACAAGGCATCTGTTTTTAAAACTTAAGAAGATGAAGATTAGAAATAGAACATACTTATTAATTGGACCTGTCCAGTCTGGCACGTCTGCTTGAAAACCTTTACCAACTGCAACAGCACTCTTGTATGGCTCAGTGTCTCTCAACATCAATAATATTTGATTGTTTTCCTCTTCTCTACAACTGCTCATCCCACCAGTGATGCTTGATGACTTTCTGCCAGATGTCCCCCTGAGAGACTTTTGCTTATTTCTTGAACATGAACCACAGAACCACTCATCTTCTGGTATTTCCTTGATTTGGGGGTTGCAACAAGACACATGAAATGCATCTTCACATTTATCGCAAATTAGCATATTTTTTGTAGATTCTGGGTGAGCACATATTTTGCATGACCTGATATAGCTGCTGCTACTGCCAGTCCCAATATCTTCAACTAAAGGAGTTCCAGCAGGTGCAAGTAGTGCTGAACTTCTCAGTATAGAGATGCATACATCCTTTTCTGATAGTCCATCCCTCTTGTCCTCCACAGCCTCCACTGCAATTATGCTTGAGGAGGAGCAATCACCATTGTCATCCATTTCGCCCTTAAGGGAATCTGATGCAAGTTCCATGTTTGAATCTGATGCAAGTGCTATGTTTGACTTTGAAGATGAGCAACTATCATTTATACTATCAACTTCTATGGTTTTCTGTGAAGATTTGAGTGCATCATCAGAACCATGGTCCTCCAAAACTGAACATCTGTTATCAAGTACTGTCTTTAACATGAATGGCTGTCTGCTGCCTAAAGGGGGCATCCCAGTAGCTCCTACTGCTTCAGTTTCAGGTTCAGCTTGAAGAACTCCATTTATCTCCTTGGCTGTGATTGTAGGAATATCAGAACTGACAACAGAAAGACAATCACTTTTCTTTGAGTTTTCAGGAACCTCTGCTGCACAGGAAGTGGCACCAGAATTACCATGTTTTTTCCTTCGGCCATATACAAAAGTAGGCACAGGATTTTCAGACATTGTACTGACAGCTGATAGTTGAGAACAAGTTCTTAAAAGGTCTATGCTACAGGAATGATGAGTCTCCCCTTTGTTTGCAACATTAACAGCTTCCTTGCAGTCCTCATGAGAATGTTCATCACATTTCGCATACATCTGCAAAGTTTCAATCCAATCATAAGAAAGACCCTGTTTCTTCTCATGGTCAGGTATATAAGATACAGCAGCTTGAATAATAGAATTATGAAGGGAACTCTGTTTATCATTTTCACCTGAAATACCATGACAAAAATGAGGATGTGTTCTTTTGATTCCTAAACAAGGCACTGGCCTCTCTTATGCTTCAATTATGAACTATGATAGTATGTGTTGAAGCAACAATCTGTTTACAGCATGAACCTTCCTGATTGAAGGTTGATATGAAAGAAGTTACTAGACAAATTCATTTTTTTCTCACAAATTTTACAGCAGAAAAATGGAGATGAAGACAAACCAAGAAAATATTAAGTTTAACATAATTCTTACTACACATGATTTATTATTATTTTGTTTTGAGCCAAGTGTTATTCTTACCCTTTATCAGCGGTAAAAACTCATAAAGTTTCCATCATATATTTAAACCAATGCCAAACATTTTCTCTCCCCTCTTCCCCCGTTTTTCCCTCTAAACCTTGCTCAATTCAACTAAAGCTTAGTTTTAAATTGGTTGGGTTCAGCTATTTGTGTTCATAGATGACACTATAGTTTTATGCTGGTCACCAACCTTCCATAACCAATACTTTTATCTAGGCTAGGATCCACTTCTTTATGGTTCAAGAAATATTAAGCACAATGTAGATGAAGGTGACAACTTGCACTAAGATAGTTTCTTCCAGCGAACTTCTTGGCAATAATAGAATCAGATCTCATATTCTAAATTGGCAGATGAAAAGCTCAGCTACTAGTGTGCTTGATGTGCATGACATATGGTAACCATTGACCTAGACATGAATTGAAAATATTATGAGAAATATGGAAAAGATACATGAAATTATTGAGGAATGATGTAGAAAAAGGAAATCTGTTCTAGATGATAAGATCCCTTAGGCATTGTGTTATAACATTGTGTTCCTCCAAAAGATTAATAAGCAGATTAAGAGTATGAAACATTCCTCCTCTTCTTGATATTCCCAAAGTTGGAAAAGATAACAACTAATTGAACCACAAACTAAACTAA